GTGCCTGTAATCCCAGCTACTCAGGAGGCTGAGGCAGGAGAATTGCCTGAGCCCAGGAGGCAGAGGTTGCGGTGAGCCGAGATTGCGCCATTGCACTCCAGCCTGGGCAACAAGAGCGAAACTCCGTCTCAAAAAAAAAAACAAAAAAAAAACAGTCTGAATGGCCTTTAAAGTAAGGTAACCCAATTAATATTGAAAAAAGAGGAAGGAAAACATAGCTACTCCCTGTTAATCTAAGGCTTATTCCTGAGGCTGTTTTTTCAGTAAGTGGGATAATATCACATTGTTCCACCTACCTGGGTCTACTATGAAGATTAAATAAATATAAGCTGGGTGCAGTGGCTCACGCTTGTAATCCCAGCACTCGGGAGGCTGAGGTGTGAGGATCGCTCTAGTGCAGGAGGTCAAGGCTGCAGTGAGCAGTGATCATGCCACTGTGCTCCAGCCTGGGTGACAAGAGTGAGACCCTGTCTCAAAAAACAGAAATATATCTGAATTTGGCCTGTAAAGTGTAAATTCTAGAGCTGTGAAAGACTGCTGGAGATTCGGCTTCCTCCGTCTCAGTTCACAGCATTCACCTCTGGTCATTCCTGCTGCTACAGGAGCCTGCTCTCAGGTGCCAGCAAGGTGGCACATGTGCTGGCATCTCAGGTGCTGGCATGTGTGTCCGGGTGCATTTTACAGCCAGGCCTGGGGGCCAGGCTGTAGGTTTATTTTACATCATTACTCAGGGCCACACAAGACCTCCCTGCCTTGACTCCACACCTTTCCAATGCATTCCTCACGCTACAGCAGTGGCCTCTCTTGCAAACGCAGCTCAGGCCTTCTTACTCCTCCAATTAAACCTTTCTGTGGCCGGTGGGAAGTTGGTCTCACGGTCAAATCCTCACCGACAGAAGCAGCAGTGCTTGCCACCCTCTGGGCAGACAGGTCACCTCCATCCTCACCTCCTGCCCTCCAGAATGTCTTGATTCCTCAAACAAGCATGTTCTCACTCTTCTCTCACTGAAGGATGTTCGAGACAGGTGTAGATTAGACCTCCCCACTCCATCCCTGGGGCTCACACGGCCCCCTTGTGACCTGGGTTCAGACATGACATAGAAGTTAAGCTACAATCAGCAATAAAATCAGAATTGCCCTCAGCAAAGGCCACTGATTCCAAAAGTTTCATTTCGTTCATTCACTGGGAGTCCACTTCTACCTGGAGAAGTTTACATCTCAATTTTTTTTCATTTTTACCTAAACAGTGGCCAACAGAGGGTTGGCAGCTGAACAGTGGAGTTTTTCTCCACGTTTTCCTGTGATTATTCCCTTCTCATTTAACTGGGTGTGGATGCATCAGATGGGGGTGAGGACACGGCCCTACCAGGACCCTAGCTGCTTACCTGGATTCCACAGAAGTCCTGGTGTCAAGATCTGGTCAGGCTGGTGGCACTGCTGCACCAGAGCCCTCAAGCATGAAAACAGGACAGACCAGGACAGCTTCACGGTGCGAGAACAAAAAGGCCGTCCACCCCTGTTGATCCTCAGCGTCCTCCTGCCGAGAACAGCTCTCCCGGTCCCACTTCCAGTCCCCCTCCAAGGTGAGAAGGGAGAGAAAGGACAGGGGCGCACACTGTGGACGCTCCTGTAAGGTCAGCTCCGTGGCTGCATCTGTCACCATTCGTCCACTCTCCATTGCCTTTGCTTAGTCACGTGGCCGCTGGACGTGTTCAGGGGATGGCAGCGTGTCCCCTAGCCACTGGGAGGTTATTAAGGCTGGAGAGTGGACACTGTGGCAGCAGTTGACCACAGCTGACCATTTTCCAAGTCAGTTCTCGGTTCTCCCAGAGCTACTTGGGTTTATGATTCAGACGACAAAGTCCCTATGATGGGCAGGAACCCTGCCACCCCTATATGGCATGCATATACGTAAAACTTGAATTTATGGTTTAAGCTATTAGTGTAACAACTTGTTATAAAGCCCCTCTGTAGCAAGGACTTACAGAATTACTCTTTTATTTATGTATGTATGTGTTTATTTTTTAGACAGGGTCTCCCTCTGTCTCTCTCTCTCTCTCTCTCTCCCAGGCTGGAGTGCAGTGGCACAATCTTGGCTCACTGCAGCCTTGACCTCCCAGGCTCAAGTGATCCTCCCTCCTCAAAGCATGAGCCACCACCTCCAGCTAATTTAATATTCAGTACAGACAGCGTCTTGCCATGTTGCCCAGGCTGGTCTCCACCTCCTGGGCTCAAGCGATCCTCCTGCATTCGCCTCCCAAGGTGCTGGGATTACATGCATAAAGCACTGTGCCCAGCCAAGTAGATACTATGATCATCCTCATTTTACCAAGAAGAAGCCTGAGGTTCAGGGAAGTAAGTAATTCACCCAGTTACCAAGAGGCAGGCAGCAGCAATGGCCCATGTTCATAAAGAGGTCAAAACGGGGAGGTGCTGAGGACAGAATACTGTTCTCAAGTACCTACTAATCAAAAACGGCAATGGCAACGTTTCATTCTAACAAGGTACTCCTTATTCTGTTTTTAAATTTAGGCAGCTTTTTTTTCGAGACAGCCTCGCTCTTGTTGCCCAGGCTGGAGTGCAGTGGGGCCATCTGGGCTCATCGCAACCTCCGCCTCCGTGGTTCAAGTGATTCTCCTGCCTCAGCCTCCAAAGTGGCTGGGATTACAGGCACACGCTACCATGCTTGGCTAATTTTGTATTTTTAGTAGAGACAGGGTTTCTCCATCTTGTCAGGCTGATCTCGAACTCCTGACCTCAGGTGATCCGCCTGCCTTGGCCTCCCAAAGTGCGGGATTACAGGTGTGAGCCACCATGCCCAGCTAGGCAGATTTTACCGTTTAATGTTTTTCTTCCCATTTATCAACCTTGTAGCCAAAACTTTGCTGAGTTTTTAACAAATGTGTGCCCAGTTTATTATCAACCCACACGAGATACAGAGCATCTTGAGAAAGCTCCTCATGCCCCTTTCCATGTAACCACCCCAGTTACAGTCAGCAGCCGTTCTGAGTTCTCTCACCATAAGCTTATCTGTTCTTAAGACAAACGACAGCCAGATGGGATGGTTCATGTCTGTAATCCCAGTACTTTGGGAGGCCGGGTGGCGGGGGGAGGGGTGCATCACCAGAGGTCTGGAGTTTGAGACCAGCCCAGCCAACATGGCAAAACCCTGTCTCTACTCAAAACACAAAAATCAGCCAGGCGTGGTGGCATGCAGCTATAATCCCAGCTACTTGGGAGACTGTGGTAAGAGAATCACTTTAACCCCAGGGGAGCAGAGGTTGCAGGGAGCTGAGATCACACCACTGCACTCCAGCCTGGGAGACACAGAGACTCCATCTCAAAAAGAAAAAACAAAAAAACAAATGGAATTGTATAGTATGCATTCTTTTATGTTTGGTTTCTTTTGCATGGTGTATTTTCGAGATTCAGCCATATTGTTCCTGAACAGTATGTGACTTTGTGATAATGACAGCATGTGCCTATGACAATTTCACAATTTGTCTATTTACCTACTGACATTCTTTTGGGGAGTTCCCAGTTTGAGGCTACCATGTTTTGAACAAATCTCTGTGGATTTCCAAGTTCGTTGCTCTAGGGTAAATCCCTAGGGCTGCACCGCTGCGCCATTGGAAGGTTGTCTTAGTCCGTTCAGTCCGTTCTGGCTGCTCTTATAAAATACTGTAAACTGGGGAGATTACGATGAGCAGAAATCTCTCAGTTCTGCAGGCTTGGAAACGCAAGGACAGGTGCCTGCAGACTGAGGAGGTGGTGAGGGCCCACTTCTAGTGTATCGATGGGGCCTTCCTGAGTCTCGCTCCGTCCCCAGGCTGGCGTGCAGGGGCGCGATCCTGGCTCACTGCAACCTCTGCCTCCCGGGTTCAAGCGATTCTCCTGCCTCAGCCTCCCAAGTAGCTGGGATTACAAGCGCGTGTCACCACACCCGGCTAACTTTTGTATAAAGAGATGGTGTTTCGCCATGTTGACCAGGCTGGTCTTGAACTCCTACCTCAGGTGATCCGCCCGCCTCGGCCTTCCAAAGTGTTGGGGTTACAGGGTTTACCTTCAGTAAAATCCTCCCCCACGTTTTTTCGAGACAGGGTCTATCAGGTTGGTGCAGCAGTAATTGCGGCTTTTGCCGTGTCTTTCAAAATATTTGCCCAGGCTGGTCTCGAACTCCTGGGCAGAGGAGATCCTCCTGCCTGGGCTCCCAGGGCGCTACGACTCCGGACGTAGCCGCGGGGCGCGTCAAGGCAGCTTGGTGAAGAAACGTAAACGGGAAGCTCCGGCGGCCTCCCCCGCGCGGCGTCCGGCCGGTTCGCGTCCAGGTGAGAGGCGCCTCCTCACTCCTGGTCGGGACCGGGCGGCCGCAGGCGGTCCTCGGGCTCGGACCACACGAACCTGGCGGCCGCACGCCCGGAAGGTCTGCTCCGCTCTCGGAGCCACGGAGCGCCGCAGGGAGGCTAGGCCCCGGCCCGGGAGGCAGCGCGGAACCGCCGCCCCGCCCCC